TGTAGCAGATGCGTGTTCTGCAATAAGTGTAGCATTCCAGGGTTATATTGTCTGAGGTCACTTAAGTCATCCACAGATTCTGGACCTGGGACAGTATATTCCAAGCACATATCGTCGGTGTAATGCCACACCCACGAATGTGCAAAATTCTAATTTTTCACCTAAGTACACCACTAATATTATCCCAGTCATTGCTTTACTCTGCCACGACCACTAATGTGATTGAAGGCTAAGAGATCGTGGCGAAGAGATGTGCACGGAAGTCAGTCTGCATTTTTTACTTGCAACACGTGCATCGCGAATGTACCAATTCCTGTTTGTGGCATTGTAGTGATTGTATTGTTTCTACTAAATATTTCTCAGTTTTGTGTGTAATGAACGCCCACACAGCTAAAATATTTGATGACTTGAGACTGTCACGTTATTGTTTCTACTAAATATTTCTCAGTTTTGTGTGTAATGAACGCCCACACAGCTAAAATATTTGATGACTTGAGACTGTCACGTCTGGATTCACCAAAACCCCATAAACAGGAGGTAGGTAGATGAAATTATTTCGGCAGATGATCAGCGAATTTTCTTAAATAGTGATATTGATAAACAGAAGAAAAAGAGAGTGAGTATAAACATTGAAAATTCACGAAGAAAGTTCACCATGAGTTACTCGTTTACCGTCAACGGGGAAAAAAGACAAGTATGCCGGGCCGCATTTTCATATCTAACGTAGCGTATTGCGATACGAACATGCACGAAGCGGTCTTATATATTACGTGCAAGATCGCATGACGACCGCGATACCATCCGTGATTTATAAAATACTTAGTTGTCATTTTCACGCGTGCAGTTATTTTCTTGTTTATAAAATGGATTTTGTTTAAAAAGTGAAATTGACGAAAGTCGTCGCGTCCATGACAAAACGACACAAACGCCAAAAAATCGAAATTAGGCTAGTATCACCACTGCATAGGGATTTTTTTTCTCCATCGACTCGCATTAAAAATTTTATGAAAATAAAATGTTTACTCCCGCCAAAACTCGTTAAAACTTTGTACAAGCGCCATCTAAACAGGTTTATTGTTGATGATTTGGTACAAGCGACAGTCGTCCATAAACAACACACGGAAGAAGATCGTCGTATTTTTGTGTAATATTTATATTATTGCAAGGTAAGAGCAAAAAACTAAAATACATCATATTAATCTTAGGATGTGGTTTGTAATAATAATTGTATAAAAGTACGAGAAAATTCCAAAAAATCAGATAAAAGAATGGGCGCTTATGCCAATACATCTCACAAATTTTAAGTTTGGCACAAACGCCATTTCCCATTTGTGTGTAACGTAAATTTATTTTCTTGTTATCTTATTTTTTATAATATGATTGCTTAAAACATTTTTAAACTTTTATTTAGAATTGCTAGTGCAAATATTTAAAAAATTTAATTTTAAAAAATATGTTAGGAAAAGGGATAAAAAAGCGTTTGAAAGTTGGCGTTTATGCCATTCATATACTTTTAGTTTGTAGATGGCACCTAATAGAAGTAAGTTGATGGTGTCAATGGCCCAAAAACAAGCAGCTAAAGCTTGTACTCGTAGTTTGCTAGTGGAAGAAGCGTTAAAACATGATATTTTTCGTCCACTCTATTTGACAATTAAATGATTGATCTAGAAGAAGAGGAAGAAGTAATTATGAAAGAGAATGAAAACAGTGGATTTTCAAAAGAACATAATTTTACACGTATAGAAAAAAAGAACATATAGAAGAGAGCGAAGAAAATAAAAAGATAAAAAAAATTATTTATTTATTTATTTATTTGGGTTACACCATCCAACAGTATAAAAATAATTACAATTACAGTATAATTTACATCATAAAAATAATAACAAAATATTAAATACTAATAATAGCATAAATATATGTAAACAAAAAATAGTTTAATAAACGTTTTTAACCATCATAAGAAAACGCAAAAAAAACTCCGTTAGGAGAAAAAAATACGTTGTCTTATGATAATTAACTCAGTCCACAATTAAGCGTTTTATTTCTTTAATTGAAATAGAAAATAAATCAACATCATTTTGAAGTTCACAAAAATTTTGATACATAAAATACATTGGAGAAAATTTTAAAATATTTGTCCTGGGTGTCTGAAAATAGAAATAAAAAGGGGAGCGAGTTCTGATACTAGGAACATTAAACATTAGTTGACGAAGTAGTTCGGGACAGTCAATTTTAAAATTTAATAATTTGTAAAGAATGCAGATAGAATAACATTTCCTGCGAGTACGTAATTCAAGGATATCAAATCTATTCAGCAAGATGGTTTGCGGAATATTGCGAGTAGCTTGCACCACAAATATTTGAAAAATTTTCGCTGAATTTTTTCTAATGCTTGGCTATATACTTCATATCCAGGACTCCAAACAATGGACGCATATTCTAGCTTACTACGTACAAAAGCGTTAAAAATAGTTTTTAAAGTGTTAGGCTCAGAGAACTGGCGTCCATTTCGAATGACAAAACCCAAATTTCTGTATGCTTCTTTTTGAATAGTTATGACATGTTCAATAAAGTTTAACTTAGCGTCGAAAAGAACACCAAGATCTCTAAAAGAAAGACATTTATTGATGGTAATATTGTTGACAGTGAAATTATACTCAATCGGATTTAGTTTGCGAGTGAAGCTGATAGAATTGCACTTAGATATGTTTAGTGGTAAGTTGTTAGAATTACACCAAAGGTTCAATTTATTTAGGTTCTCCTGCATAATCAAACAGTCATCAATACTAGAGATTGATTTAAACAATTTTAAATCATCGGCATAGAGTAGAGTATTACATGATAGGTTTTCAGTAATGTCATTTACAAAAATGGAAAATAAAAGTGGTCCTATATGGAAGAGAGAAAAGACAATGAAAATATATACGAAAACAATGACCAGCATATAGGAGAGAACAAAGAAAATGAAAATACAAAAATGAAAAAAGAAAATAATGATGATTATGATAAAAATGATTATGATGAAATTAATGATGGTTATTTAACGGAAAGTGATATTTAGTTTTTATATTATATTTCAAAAAAAAATTAATTATTGAGTTTTAATTTCATCCCCTTTAATGGCACAAATACCATTGAATTTTAAAAATAAATAATTAACAATTTAGCATATATCCAGATAAGCGACCTTTTCGTTCATTCTAATTAATTCGACAAAGCACAAGCGCCATGACCTTTTTGGCATAAATACTTTTAAGTTGTCACTAACTGGCATAAGCGACAAATTTACAGTTTTTTATTTGTATAAAAATTCTTCTAGAAATATCAAATAAAATGGCAAGAAAAATTAGAAAAAAAATATAGGAAGAACAAGAATTAAATTGTTTCATTTGAAAATTACTACAAAATAATTTATAAGATTTTTTCTGTCTCCTGAAAAAAGATCATAGTGGAGTTTGTGCCGTTTTGTCATGGACGCGACGAAGTATTTTTGATTAATTTTTCCCATATTATCAGTACAAATCAAGAATCATAATATATCACATAACCTCTAAGGTAAACAGTCTGGATATTTTATTACGGTGGCATATCTGTTATGCTGTGTTCGAATATTAGACTCGACGCGCCGAAAGTTGAAGCCACCACGTCATCAGTAACTTGAATGCACTGCGTTCTCAGTAGCTTGCGATTGGCTGTTTCGGAGATTTGTGTGATGAGAGTGTTTCCTTGAGGTGTGGAGCAGCAAATTTTAATGTTGAATTTATTCCACACGACACTGTCTGTATAGGTTCACTAGCATATTAATGATGACGTGCCTGGCTACAAGTCTGGTCGCGGGCACTCTAACTTTACAGAATTTGTCGCCTAATGAACGATTTTAAACAAAAATATTAACATAACTTTTGACACGAATTTAAACTTAGATTTTTTTTTTGTTTGCTTATGATAAATGATAAATTAAATTAATAAGTAACGCCGTCGTTTTTGAACTTTTAAAAACCTACAGAAAGAAAACTCATTGTTTCTGACTAATTATGTGTCGCTAAATGCGAATATGATAACCGTTTTGCTAAATTAGGTCGTAATTTAGTCTTATGCTTGGGAAAAGTTTTAAAAATGGATAAATTATAATTTTTTTCAAATGGTCTTATTTTTTATGACTATTCTTAAGGGATACATGAAGCAACGCACGCATGCAAATTTTTTTTAAGTCATTTCTCAAATTTGGTACATGCTGTACTAATGTACAGTGCTATCCATTATATGTGGAGACCTCATCTGGAGCATTAATTTTTATCTTTAAAACTTTTAAACTAAAAATTATTAAAATAAGACTTACCTAAAATTTTCAAAACCTAGTAACATTTTCTCTAGTGTCAAATATAAAACCAATTTCAATCATTTCGTCCATTTTTTTTTAGATAGGTTGACTTTTCTTTTAATTTTTTGACTGTGAAAAATTCCCTAAATAACATACAAAAAATGATACAAAATTTAATCCATTATAAGTTTTCAAGATATTACGTCTCAAAATTTTCGACAAAAAATAATTTAGTCACACAGTATAATTCAGATAAAAAATGAATTAATCAGAATATTTGAGACTTTTGTAAAGAAAAAGCCAAATAAATAAAATAAAAACACACCTAGACAGACAGAGACTAGTGACATAATTACACCTACATTCAACCTGAAATATACCATGTGATTGCTTAATTTTTTTGTCATACTTTTAAAGCGTAACATCTTAAAATCTAATGGTTGCAAGTTAATACATTTTTTTGGGTTATTTTAATTGTTTTTCATTTTAAAAAAACGTTTGACATGATTGACACTAGGTGCCACAATCTGAGATAAGACGTAATAAATAAAAAAAAATAACGTAATAAATAAAACAAAATATTTAATTAAAAATTTGATACTCAACAACTAAAAAAAATCCTTTGACTTGCTGACTTTTTGCTGGTTGTTTGTAAAATATATTTTAATTATTGTTCCAGAAATGGGTTACCGAACTTATGAATGCATCAAAAGTAACCTGGTCAATAACAAGAACTATTAGAACACCGCCTAATAAAGCCAGAAAGCATACTTTCAAACGAATATACCAGTGTCATTTTAATACCGACTATCGGTCTCCATCTGGTTCTCCAAAAAAGAAACATGCTTCGAGGAATATCATGTGTCCTGCCATGTTAACAATTATTTTGGTTTACATAACCAAAAATAAATCAAGATCCAAAACACCTGATGTTCTAGCAGAAGATTGGCCTTGTATAATACAGTTTTCGGGAGAACACAATCATAATATTTTTAGCGCTACTACCCTTATCCGACGTCCTATAGGTGAAAGCACTAAACAAGAAATACTAGAATATTTTGGAAGGGGTCACTCGGTGTCTTCAGCGTATCATAGCTTCTGCTTTAAAAAAATGGATGAATGGGGAGAAGAATACAATACGTTATCAGCTGATCGTCATTATTTTCGCAATAAAACAGATTTCCAAAATTTATGGATAAAACATTTCAAACATAATTATGGTGAGAGAAAAGGTTCAGAAATGTTCAGTAAGTTGAAAGAAAATTTGACCAACAATAAAGTGTCCTTCAAAGTATGTCACATCGACGATCATTATGGTATATCTTTATGTACTTCCATAATGAAACGGGCAGCATCTTTATTAATTCAAGCATCAGAAATTATTTTTGTAGATGTTACTAGCAATTGTGACGTACAAAATCACAAAATTTATTTTTCGCTACACAATCGGCTATAGGTGGCATTCCGTTGGGCTGCATTACTTCAACGAGCCAAAAAGAAGAATTATTCGATATGGCAGTAAAGAATTTGCTAGATGTTCAACTAACTAATATATCACCGCAAGTTATTCTTACAGATGATGACATGAATGAAAGAAAGGTTCTTCAAAAACACTGGCCTGAATCCAAAATGCTTCTTTGTACTTTCCATGTCTTAAAAGCCGTTTGGAAATGGCTTAACATTGCGCGTATTAATATACCAAAAGAGAATAGACCGTTTCATTACAAATTATTTAAAAATATTCTATATTCCCATACTAAAGAAGAGCTTTACATGAATATTCAAACATTGCAGTCCGATAGTAAATTCGAAAATTATAATAAATACATAGATCAGAAACTTAAATATATACAATCATGGTGTTTGTATTATAGAAAACACCTTTTAACCAGAGGTTCCGATACAAATAATACTATAGAAGTAATGTTTCCGTTTATTTAAGGACATTCCTCTGGAACGGACAAAGGCATACAATCTATCTCAGCTCGCTGATTTTATTACATCTGACTTCGAAAGCTACTAAAAACAAAGACTTTTAGATTTATGTTTCAACAAAGTAACAAAAAACACTATTGATGGATTGTATCCAAACTCAAAAGATGTCTCGTTTAGCCAGATTGAACATATCAAAGACATGGAGTTTTGGAAAGTAACTAATTTGTGTATTTAAGCATTGGTGTATGCAGTTGACCTGTAGGTTTTTCTGGAAAGATTTGAAAACATCAGTCATGTATTATTTTAAATCTCCAAGTAAACAACGTTATTAATACTTTGACAAACGAAAACAAAACTTTATTTTTCAAAATCGCCACTGGATCGGAACCTCCCAAGGAACTTTTTATGTCATTGAAGATACCTAGTAAAAATTTAGACCAAGAAGAGTCAATCGTACCCGCTACAAAACAATTACGTGAAAGCGAGCAGTCGACTTCGCAAGAAAATAATAATGAAATTATGGATTATAATCCCACAATTCGTGAGGAAGCTGAAAGTTCGAACGACAATATATTAGCTATAGAAACTACATGGACAGATTTTATAAAAAACCTTAACGAAAAAGTTATAACAGGATTAAAAGATGATCCCCTAGGGTTTACACGAGCAACTCAGTCTTGTGTAACATCTTATCAAAAAAACATTAATTCCAGTTCCAGTTTGCTAAGAAGCCTACATATCTTATTTAAATCGAATGACCAACGTTATACCTCAAAGCGACTCTACACAAATACAACTAGAAAAGGTAAGAAAATAGGAGTTCAGCCGACATCAGTTGCAAGGCGCAAAACTGTTATAACTGGTAGGAGAAAACTACAATCTGGTAGACAAACAGGAAGCTTAATTAAGAAAAAACGAAAAGCTGTACATTCACTATCAGAATACGTAGAAAAAAACGTAAGCTTGGGGGATAACAAATTTGTGAAATGACTTTTCACTTTTCACTAACGCGTTGTCTGTGTATACACAGACATGTACAAAATCAGTTGTAAGCTTTCTTTTAACAAAATATATTCATTATTAAACAAACTAGAGCGTCTTTTGTTATTAGGTACATTTGACTAAAAAGTATTGATGCAAATTACATCAAAACCTATTTAGTTATTGTACAAAAAATAGTATAGTAACATTTTTATTGATAAAAATTTACCAAGTATAAGTATGCTAATGGTCTTTTATTATTCCGCGTGCGGTATCGCCAAATTACTTGCGATCACGAACGTGGCTTATAAAATCTATTTCGCTAAAACCGAAGTGCGATATGCTACGTTGGATATGAAAATGCTGCCGCGCCTTTTTTATAACTACACTCAATGTGACAGATGGATTTATGCGCGGAGCTGTGGAAAAGATTTCTTCTAGTGGCATAATTGAAAAATAAAAACGTGGAAAACATGTCCCACACAACAAATTGAAAGATAATGAATCGTGAGAACATTCTTTCATTTCCAGGCGGGGAGTCCCATTATTGTAAGGCCTCTAGCACCAAAAGGTACTTGGATTCTTACCTAAACGTCTCTATTATGCACAAATTGTACAAATCAAAGTGCTCAGAATTAAAAGTCCGTCCAGTTTCTTTCGAGAAGTATCGACGAGTGTTTAGAAGTTATAACTTGGGGTTCCATAAACCCAAAAAGATCGGGTACAAAAAGTGCTTAAAATATACGAATATGACAGAAGAGGAAAAAAACACACGAACAGGCTCATTACGAACAAATGCTAAGAAAACAATTAGCTCGTGAGGCTCTAGACGAAGACAAAGAAATTGCAAAGAATAATTTAGAGGTACTGTCATTTAACTTTGACCTCGAAGCAGTGCTTACGACTCCAAAGGGTCCAACAGGACAAATATTTGGCTATTTACATTGGCTATTTACAACTTAGGAAATCAGGATTGAATCTGTTACCTTTGGGATGAAACCCAAGGAAAAAGGGGGTCAAACGAAATATCCTCGTGTATTTATAATTACATTATCAATCAACCAAACATTACTGCGGTTCGAATGATGTCGGACGGGTGTGGTGGGCAACACAAAAATTCGCATTTTGCTGCTATGTGCTTGAAACTTCTTACGGATCACACAAATTTAAAAATTATTCATCACAAGTTTTTTGAATCGGGACATACCGAGATGGAGTGTGATTCACTCCACTCGAAAATATCAAAATATGTTCCGGTTTATTCACTCGAAGGTTGGGCTCAGATAATAAGAAGTGCTTGAACACACCCACGTCCTTTTGAAGTCAGATTCATAATGTTTGATGATATCTTTGATTTTAAGTCCTTTGGAATACAAAACTATAAATTGAACCAAATTCCCTGGCAACAAGTTTGCTGGTTACGATACATTAAAACCGATGCCGATGGTAATAATGTCCTATAAAAAAAATTTTGGAGATGAATTTCAACAAGTTGACAGCATGAATAGTCGTGGAAGACCCAAAATGTTGACTTGAAAAAAGCCTATGATAAGCAGTTGCCAATTGCGATTGCTAAATATAAAGATCTGCAAAAAATGTGTAAAGATTTAACAATTTCAAAGAACTGTCATAACTTTTATAATTCTATAAATGCCGATAAAAATATGAGTCAGTTTGCCGGAGCCAAATGAAAGCGAAATTTCTGACGAAAACTAACATGATTTAAGTGTTTTACTATATTATTTCTATTTCTGTAGTTTTCAATATTAGAAAGTTATTTTTGTTCCACTTTTATCATAATAAAGGTTGTATAATTTCACGTATATGCAGTTTATTAAAAAAATTACAATGCCACAATCACAAATGTAACTTTTTTCGAAAATTGATGGATATTTTCGTAAATTATTGATAACATTTCTAAAATATAACTCTAACATCTGTTAATAAAAGTACAAAAAAATGTCGCAATAAATCTTGATTTTTAGCAACTCATTGAAAGTTTAACAGTCGAATATCAGCTAACGCTCATTTTGCAAATTCGTGGGTGTGGCATTGCACCGACGAAATTATGTAACACTGCACAAGCATTTATAATTTTTGACGCAACATCTGGGCTGTAAGGCAATACTCTGTGTTTAAGCAAACACCGGAATCTTGCTTTAAGCAATCTTTTACATTTTTCAATCACATTCCTGGTTGACCTGTGGCATGTATTATATCTAAATTTATTTGAATTACGAAGAGGTTTAATCTCAGTTTGCATTAGTAACCAAGGTCTTAAGGTACATCCACTATCGCCTAAAAAATAAATCAAATCGTTTCAAAATCAAATATCTTATCAATTAGGTAAAAAAAAACATGATTAACTACTTAACAAATGATAGCCAGTATGTCCAATATGATGTAAATTCTCCATAGCATCCTCAATGTTCAAATGATTCCAAATAAAGATGTCATTTGTGCTTCCTGGATACCTGGCATTAACATTTAGAATTTGAATATGTGAATCGCAAACCTATAATATACAGTTGAAAAAAATTATAAAATTCTGTTTTAATTATCTTACTAGTTGCACATTTATAGAATGGTATCGTTTTCTATTTACTTATATATGTTCTGGATAAATCGGATCATTACTCTTTGAAGAAAATATGGCAACATGTGTAGTCAATTGCATCAACTATTCCAGGAAATCCAGACATATTGAAAAATCTATAATAAATATTATTTAAATAAACATTGATTACAGACCAAAATTTACTTACTCATTACGTATTATAGCTAAATCCACTTCATGAATGAGAAATGTAATCCAAGAATTAAAAATTTCGGCACCATTTAAAATATCTGCAACTTCATTCACTGCCCTACTTACTAAATACTGCCAATATCTGGCTCCCCGAGGCAGAAAATGTTTAGTGCTATAAGTACCTAAACATTAAATGTTTAATAAAAGTGCATGATGCAATATGTAAATGTACACTAGGATATAAAGCAAAAGCTCTCTGTGGCTGCACCATATAAGGCGACACTAAATCTATTAGAATTTCAGCTAACTGTTCAGCCGAAACTTTCTGACAAATTGTCGATCTGTTAATTGAAATATGTCATTCCTAGTATTATAGATCCGAGGTGGTAGATCCATTTCTACTTCGGCCTCTATAATATTGTTTATTCCTTGTAAAATACCTATTTCCTCTATATCGTCCATCTATCACAGAATACTCGCTATTACTATATTTCTAACTATTAATACTCTTACTTCATTTCTACACTAAAAAGATTAAATAACGCATTAATAAACTCAAGAACAAACACGGCAAGTAAATAAAATGTTTAATTTAGGTTATATTTATAATATTTTGACATTAATGACAGTATCACTGTCGGTACAGTAGATTTTCGCGACCGTTCTCTATCGTCAGGTTGATGTCCTGGAGCGGCACTCCGTGTCCTATCGCTTTCGACATGTAGTTTTCTACAATCGATTTCAACCGTAGAATTCTATAAACGCTTTGCCGGTACTCTGTGTAACAGTCGATTCATCGATGTCAAAACATTGGACATTCTCGGAGATTTACTAACCCATCTAAAAATGTTAATACTTTTTGTCAAGTATGTCAATTTCTGACAAATAAGGTGCCGCTTTGGTTTTGATTTTGAGTTTAGTTTTTGTTTTGATTTGTAATAATGGTTTCTTTTTTGTGGCCAATATGTTAGCTGCTGAAGAGGAGAAACGACTGGAACATCTTCGTATGGAAAATATATATAGGGGAGTAGAGAGAGAAGCAAGCGATCCAGTCTCTAAAGAAAATATAATATTAATGGAGTTAATTTTGTGAAATAAAGCTATGACCTAGTATGTATTAAATAGAATACAAGCCAATATGGAACAAAGTAACAACCCTGTTTCCATACCGCTCAATATATAATTTTTCAGAGGAATGGATTCGGTTTCCTAGAACTCTACAAGAAAAACAACAAATTAAGTTACTTTTAATGGAAGCAAGAAATTTCCCTGGGATAATTGGAACAGTAGATTGTAGCCATGTTGAAATCCTGGATCATAATTGAATCGGTGTTTTGGAAAAGGGCATATCTACTTAACAATCAATTTTACAGTAGGAAGAAAAAATAATTTTTAATTAAATTGCGTGTACTTATTAAAAGGTATGTACATATTTTTATATGTTCATTAGTATGTGAGGAAGTTAATTACAGTTATTTTTATGGATGTTTGAATAATTCATATCATAAAAATATGTATATATTTATTTCATTTGTGACCTTCTCCTAACTTTTTCAGAATAAAACAAATATAGTTTCACAATGACATATTATTTATTAAGAATTTTTTTAAAAATATTAGAAGTCTTCTTCAGCCATCTCTTCAGAGACATCTGTTAGCCAGTCAAGTATCATACTGTAACATTCTTTGTTTTACTGGGGAATATACTGGATTAAGGATTTCAAATTATGAACTTTTTTATACTGATGGGGACTTTGGCTGTATAAGCTCTTTAACAGAAAGATTCGCCTTGGACCTGGCAGGCTTCGCTAAATATGACGGAATTAACCCATTATAATGCGTACATCGCCAACCACAATAAAAAATTCGAATAAGAATTTCTTGACCGTAGCAGAATTTTAATAAATAAAAATTTCTTTGGTTTATTCGGTCATTTTTATTTTCTATCTCTTAGCACAGCACTACATATGTTTCGGAAAACTTTTCCATCTTCGGGTGCAGTCAAAATTTAATAAAACATGGGGCGATTATAAATAATTTTTTTTTTTTTTATAACAGAAACCCCATCTTTCTGTTTCAGCGTGTGATGGTGTCTTCACAAGCCTAAACATACCCTGCTCTTCAGCGTATTTATTTCGAAAATGTTACATTTTGTATCGCATGTGACCTTTTCGAACCAAACGCAATAAAATAGGTATCTAGTTAATGCAGTTCTAGTGTGATATTTTATTCCCATTTTTGTAATAAATGGTTCGCGTTCAATAAAATTAAAGAAAAATCACATAATACGAAATTGGCCGAAATTGTCGTTTGTGCCCTTTTCCAAATAACGGATTAAATTATTTTAACAGAAAGGGTTACCATTTTAAGTTATAATTTGCGTATTTTATTCACAGGCATCCAGAAATATGAGCTTATGCTCTACCGTAATTTTTATTTTTACATTTGTTAGTTTTTTTTATTTGATATCTAAATCAAATGTCAAACGATTAAAAATCAAAAGAACATGTTTGACGGTTTGTCTACTTTAGTAGAAAACTATATCTCTTGACGTCTCGCTTCGTGGCGATAGTCACAGTCGACTACAGACGATTATTTTGAGACACGGAGTGCCAATCGATAGAATTCTATATGACACGAAGTCCCACTGCTGAAGTAATCAAAGACTGTTCGAACTCGTGCGACACGAAACGCGTCTAACGTAGAGTGCTCGAGAATACGGGTTAGCTGTCGCATACGATAGAAAGCATACGTTATTTGAGGCATACGACACTTGACGTATACCGTCAGTAATTGGACCCCTGGGACGTGTTTCTCCTGAAATGCGTGTTTGATTTGTTTTGAATTTATTTGACCCGACACTGACCACACCTTTAATGAGTTTAATGTGACTGAGAAGAGATTTATTATTTTGGTTATATTGTGTATTTGAGCGAATTTTGGGATTTTTTATATTCTTTTTATTAAAATGGATGTAAATTTGGGTAAATTTGTAATTCTAAATGATCTCATCGATTCCGAAGAACAGGAAGATAGGCCAGTAAGAAGATTTTATAGGAGGGAAAATGCATTTAAACAGATGAAAAATTTATTGAAACGTTTAGAATAACAAAAAGTCATCAGTATTAGTTTAATAAAATAAAAGTCCTAATTTCATACATTTGCAACTTTAAGTTTGAATATCTTCAGAACGGCTCACTCTATGAAAAAAATAAATTAGAACTTTTTGTAGAGCGTTCAATTTCCTACCAAAATAATTTTTTACTTTATTTTTACAATGCTCAAATGACAAGCTACAAAAATAAAAAAAAAAATAAAAAATTCCATGTTATTTAGATGGAAAATGGAAAGTTAGGAACAGGCACCACTAAATGATAATATTAAGAGCTCAAATTTTTAGAGGCTTCTTTTTTCACCTTCCTGAAAGTTTTAAGCCTGTTTTTTAGTTAATAAAAAAAAGTTGCTCAAAAATGACACACCCTAAATGATGGTAAGTTTTATAATATTACCTAATAGGGTCGAAAATAGTTTTTAGGTGCTCATTACAAACAACAAGCTCACAAAAACTTTAGATATTTTTCTGAGCTAGTCGCAATTTATTAAGTAATTTAATATTTCTTCAGGGCATTCAGATTCAGATCCTTATGCTACAGATGAAGATTCTGACTATGAGCCTGAACCAATGGAGGCCGACTCTGAAAGTAGCGAAGATTGAAACAAACCCGCAAACCAGCAGAAAAAGGGTCAGAAGAGAGAAAAGTTGGGCTCGCAATCAACGGAAAACTAAGAGCCTCAGGTCTTGCTTACAAAAATACAAAGGGAGTCCAGGTTTCTAAAAAGAGATTCCAAGTTCCTGTATGCCAATGTGCTAATAAATGCCATGAAAAGATTAACGAAGCTCAGAGTGAAGCTATTTTTGAAAAGTATTATGATCTGGCTGATTTCAATTTGCAGACGGCTTACATTTTTGGACAGATTAAGGTTATCAGAAAAACTCGGGTTTACACAGAAAATCCAGAGACTCGCCGCCAATTTACCAGATTTTATGATTTGCCCAATGAAAATAGTTTAGATGTAAAAGTCTGCAAGAACTTTTTCAAAATGAACTTACAAGTTTCTGAGGGTCGATTATCGAGGATTTTAAAAAGCAAACCTGAGGGAATACCACCAAAAGATAAAAGAGGAAGACACCCATCAGCAAACAAAACTCCCGAAGCCAAAGTTTTAGAAGTAATGGATTTTATTAAACGCTTTCCAGTTTTTGAATGCCATTATTCCAGGCCAAAAAGTGCAATAGAAAGTATTTGGCACCAGATCTGAATATAACAATAATGTATAATTTGTATAAGGATCAAGCAGAATTAGCAGTTAGTAGCTATATTTTTAGAAATATTTTTAATACTCGTTTTAACTTGCATTTCCACGCTCCAATCACTGACAGCTGCAGAAAATGTGACGAATTTAATAACAAGCTAAAGGTTACCGAAGGTGAAGAAAAAAGAAAAGAGATTCAAAAAGAGATACATTTGCGTAAAGCGGAGCTGGCTAGATCAGAAATTAAAAAATATGGAGAAAAAGCAATGATTGAATAAAACGAAACGGCTGCAATAGCATTTGATTTCATGAAGACCCTTCCAACCCCTGTTCTTTCAACGGGTATTACCTATTATAAGCATCAGTTGTGGACATACTGTCTAGGTAACAAAAAATTAAACACAAACTTTTGTTTTGCAAATTTTGTAGCTAATGTTTTAGGTATAAACAAACAACCTTGCCAAAAATACTGCTATCATGTATGTGCGGAATGAATCAATTGCTTCAAGAGGGCCGCAAGAAATTGGATCGTGTTTGTTACACTATTGTAAGAATTTTGTTAAGGAAAAAAACTCATTATGTACAGTGACCAATGTGGTGGTCAAAATAGGAACATAAAAATGGCGCTTATTTGCGACTTTATAGCAACATCGACAGAATTTACTGTGAATGAAATTGATCACAAATTTTTGGTATCAGGCCATTCTTATCTGCCTTGTGATCAGGACTTTGGCATAGTGGAAAAAGAAAAAAGTTTCATAAAGATATATTTTTACCTGTCCATTGGGTAACAGTTATAAAATCTGCACGTAAAAAAAGCCATTTCAGGTAATTGAAATATTCGAAAAAGAATTTTTTTTCTACCAGAGTCCTAGAAAACAGCATAACTAATAGAAAAGTGTCTGAAAATGATTCAAAGATAGAATGGATGAAAATGCAATGGCTTAGATACACTTCTGAAAACAAGCACCGTTTTCAGTTTAAATATTCCAACTCAGAGGATGTTTTATTCAACTTTGTAAATGTGTCAAAGCACAAGGCAGGTAATCAAGTTAATGCTTTACAACTGCTGTTCCCAAATGGTAGACCGATTGAAACAAAGAAGAAACAGGATCTTATAGAACTTCTTCTATATATTCCTCACATATACCACCCATTCTATGAAGGTCCGAGTACTTCTGCTACAGCAGTTGATGAACTAGCTGAGCAGGCCGATAGAGAAAATTTTGATCCAATCGATGACGAAAACACTGAAGCATAGTTTTGTTTTTTACTATCGAATTATAAATGAGAAATACGTTGTTTTAATTTTATTTCTTCAATAAAGCACCTTTTGGATACTTTATGCAACATTTTTTGTACCATTAAGGAATTCCATAATTTGGTTCGGCTTAGGCTGCCAGATTATGAATGATTCCTATTGTTTTCAAAATTCCAAATTTCAGATTTTTGAAAAATCAAATATTTTTAATGACAGACCTTATACCTCTATGTTAGATTTAACTATTTTTCAAAATGTTTCTGTCTACAAGCCAATTTTAACAAAATAAGTAAAAACAAGATTAATGGTAATTTTTGAACTCAATTTTCTGGAAATTTTAAATTTGGGGTTAGGCCACTCTAGCTCTCAACGCCTCATATTATGATTGTAGATGCTCGCTTTCCAGGTAGCTGCCATGATGCTCACATATGTAGACAATCAAATTTAGCTCAAGTAATGGAACAAGTATATAGGAATAATAAGCATAATTTATTTTTTCTTCTGGGAGATTCAGGTTGGTTTTTCATTTGACTGGTAACATTAGAATATCGTCTTTTTAAATGGTCTAGTTCACTTATAAATATATATTCATTTATTATGTTTATACTTATTCCAATTCCTTTTACTTGATTCTTACAAAAATCACTTTACTATAGTGGAATAAAATCGCTCCTAAAATTTGCTTTTTCCAAGGGTGGATGATTCGGAGGTATAACCAAATAAAATCTGTACTGTCTTGTAGAGGACACTCTGGCGTATGGGAATGTACAAGTTTTTTTAGTAGGACCGAACTTTGAAAATAACCCTTAACCCTTTCAATACTGCGGGGATCTTTTGGCCCCGCAGAACAAACCTTGCTTACTGGTTGGTTTTAAAAGCCCCGAAATAACATGTAAATAACTGTTATCAGTAGTTTATAGGTCAGATAGGTAGGCAACATTATTTGCACGTGAACAGGTGGTTTTAGATAACCTAAAAATACGGTATTTGTTGTGTTTACTAGTGAAGCATACGCTTATCTCTTATTTTAGTGAAAAATAGTGAAATTTATTAGCCTGCACTGAGCCAAAACTTACTAATAAGTGTACATAAAGTCAATTGTTGGAATTTTTACCGATATGGGTAAGTAATTTTTAACGGAGCTTTTTCGTGTTTTTTGCTGGGTACAAAAGATCCCATCAGTATTATAAGTCTTTTCTTACATTCATGAGTCGCCGTTTTCTTTCCGATGCAGAACTTCAAAAAGAAAACTTTGTAAGTGATGAAGAAAGTGATCCGTTTCAGGGATCCGATGAATCTGATTATGAACCTTCAGACAGAGGAGAAAGCGAAGAACAAAACCGTTCATCTACTTCGTAAAAAAAGGATAGACATCAAGATGCCCAATACTCGGAATTGCTGTCAGAAACTGAGGAAGAATCTGAAGCTACTCAGCCAGATGATGAATATGTGACTAGCATTTTCAACTGGCAGACAATCACCGATAATTTTCGTTCAAGATTCAAACCACCAGAAGAAGAAAATGGCATTGTACTTTTGGATGTTGCGAGATACTCTTCAGAGCTTGATGTCTTTCTGAAGATATTCCCTAGAAGCATGTTTATGAATATTGCTGATTGCACCAATAAAAGGATAGACCTCTTGGAATAAGGCCAATATTCAAAACAAAATACCCAGCACACTGATATGTATGAAATTATGATCGTTATTGGCTGTTCATTAGTAATGTCTTATAATAGAGTACCATCTTTTGCACATTATTGGTCGAATAAAGACTCCCTTGGCAACCGTGTTATAAGAGAGGCAATTGGACGAGATAGGTGCATATTTCTACTGTCAAAACTGTATTTCGCTTATCCTGAAAAACCTGCGGATGGTTCCAAAACATATTATATTGTCGATGTTGTAGAGTGTCTAAAAAAGACTTTCCTTAAAGCAAGAACTGAGAGTTCTCACCAATCAATAGACGAAACGATGGTCAAATTCAAAGGCCGTCCATCTTTGAAACAATATATGCCGTTAAAACCTACGAAAAGAGGAATTAAAATATGGCAAAGATGCGACTCTATGACGGGGTACATAATATATGACTTTAACATTTACTGCGGAAAAGAAGTCGTTGCAACAGAAGGTACTCTTGGAGAACGTGTTGTCAGAAAGCTCTGTAGTACAATTCGGAAGCCTGGCATATGTTTGTGTTTTGATCGTTTCTTCACAAGTCTCGAACTAATGAATACACTTGACTTTCCTTGCGTTGGAACTTTTATGTGTAATCGGAAAAATGTTGCAAAATTTGAAAAGAAACAGTTGATCAGAGGGGATGCCGACTTTCTTGTCCTAAATAATGAAGGTACAATGGCAGTGAAGTGGAAAGATACTAAAGATGTTTTGGTAATGTCAAATTGCCACTCGACCACCATGGGAGTAACTAGAAGGAGGCTAAAGAGTGAAGAAAAATGAAGTTGATTGTCCCGATGTCATAATGTTTTACAATAAATATATTAACATACGATTTAGATAGAAAATCTGCAAAGTGGTGGAAGAAGGTATTCTTTAAATTGCTCATGGCTGCAGTTATAAATTCATGGATAATTTTTTGTGAAGCTACGAATAAAAAAATTCCTCTAGTACAATACCTTTTTCCTCTATCTGAACAATTAATTTCCTTGGGAAGGAGTAATGCGACATTTAAACGTCGTGCTGGTGGACGATCTGGCAGAGCCACAAACAGACGAAAGATGATGGTAAATGTTGGAGATCATCTTCCAACTCAGATGCCAAAAAGACGAAGATGTCGCAGTTGTTTGGCACAAAAAAAGAAAGCCGTACGATGACCATATGCATTGGTTGTAATTTGCCTTTATGCAAAAAATGTTTTATACCGTTCCATTAATAATTTATTTGTTTTTATAAAGTTTTAATAAATGTTTTGATTTTTTGTGCTATTAATTTTAGGTACTGATGGGGCTTTTTTTCCCCAACGAAAAATTCTGATGGGTCAAAAAGGCCCCATGTCCTTAAAAAGGACATAGGGCAATTTTTTGCTCAATTTCTTATAAAGTGAAACTAAGTGAGCTACTTAATCGTTTTCTATTGTTGACTTTCGGGATTCGTATAATTATTTTCAAACCTGTATAAACAATTTGTTCAGATAAAAAAACGAACAGCTATATAATTTTTGTTCATTCTTTTTATACAGTTTAGATTCATTGTCTACCGATTTAGTAGAAAAAAGATTATCCCAAACCACACCAAAAAAACGATTCTAGTAAGAGAAAGTTTTAAAACTAATATTTTTTTTAATATACGTATTTTTTAGCATCTCCTTTTGGACATGTAAAACCGAAAACACGATGGTCCATCAGTGAAAAGCAAAAAGCCACTGAGCTTTTCAGTGAGCACATAAATGCTGGAACATATCCTTCTCTAAACGAAATTGACCTATTAAGAAAAAAATATCCTGTAACAGGACATCGTGCGTTATAAAAACGTGGATTTCTAATGAAATACAAAAACGAAAAAGAAATTCTGCATGTTAAGTTATTAAGTACACTTTTTGGCATATCTACTTTAATTTTTGATTAATAATTTATACAGATATGAATTCCTTTTGTTTTTTAATACCTTTGCCTCTTTATTCATTTCCTAACGAGGTTGTCGGATTTATAATATATTTTTTCTATTTAGATATATATTATGTCTTCTTTAAATTTTAGTAAATATTAAACCAATTAAAAGCAACAATAAATTTTAGCGACAACAGCGTATCACGCCTTTAACTAAAGTTAAGATTTATTACGATATCGAAAATCTTTTAATCTTAAAACAAAAACTAAAAGAAAATAATCATGAAATAATTATTCCACCCAGAACTACAAAAATTATTAAAATACCAGTAAATCAAAAAAGTGGCACAGGATATTTGAATTACACAAACCTTTATGATAAATGAGAATCTCCACAAGCCGTAGTCAATGTAATAAATCATTTTACAACTATCACAAATTCTTTTACTGTAACTTCCAAAATTAAAGTAAATTTCCCTTTTAATATTGAACCCCTTACATAAGTGAAATTAATTTTTTTGAAAAAATGGAAACTAACCAAGTTCTTGAAACTAACCAAGTTCTTGAAAATTCACAAGACATACTCAAACAAAAAAATTTTAAAAATTTAAGACTCGATCATTGCAATCGCGAAGAAAAGGAAGCCATGAGAAAACTTTGCTATGAGTTTCGTGACATATTTTATAATGAAAAATTCCCTTTAACGTTTACAAATCAGATAACCCACAAAATTAACACTACTGACGAAAATCCAATTTTTACTAAGTCATATAGATATCCAGAAGTACACTGTGAAGAGGTAAAAACTCAGATAAATAAGATGTTAGCTCAAGAATAATACAAGATAGCGTTTCACCCTACAATTCAAACATTTGGATTGTTCCACGTAAACTTGATTCTTCAGGTAAACGAAAATTGCGTCTTGTAATTGATTACCGTAAATTAAACGAAAAAACTATAGATGATAAATACCCCTTTCCGATTATTACATAAATTCTTGATAAGTTAGGTAAAAGCCAATATTTTACAACCCTCGATTTCCCTAACGGGTTCCACCAAATTGAAATGGACCCAAAAGACATTCACAAAACCGCATTTTCTACAGAACACGGACATTACGAATACAAACGTATGTCATTTGGACTAAAAAATGCCCCAAGTACATTTCAATGCGTAATGGACAATATTTTACGAGGTTTGCATGTTTAGTTTATCTTGACGACAAAATAATTTACAGTACATCCCTACAGGAACATATTTATAAACTTAGACTTATTTTTGAAAGATTAAGAGCCGCTAATTTTGAAATTCAACTAGATAAATCAGAATTCTTAAGAAAAGAAGTTGCATATCTCGGACACATTATTACACCTGATAAAGTAAAACCGAATACAGAAAAAATAAAAGCCATAAAAAACTTCCCTATACCAAAAA